TCTCAAAAAATAAAAATAAAAATAAATAAATAAGGTTTGGAAGGATCAGCGGTGTGTCCGGAAACCTGTGTTAGTTGGTTTCTTGACTATCCTTTGGTTTACTCCAGCAGCTATCGGGTTTATACAGCAGACAGTTAACACAGTAACACAGTTAACTTCGTTTATTTTCACTTTGAGTAATATAATTTTGGGAAGAGCTGAGAAGGAGTGGAAATAAAGACTAAGATAATTTTTTAAAAGAATAATAGCAAATGAGATTTTAAGAATAGAAGCCAGAGAAAAACCAACAGAAGAGAACTGAACCCCTTTGGTACTGCCGTCAGGCCGGCTCTTTGTACTCTATATTCCTTGCATCCATAAATGATACATGTTCCAATCTCCCTTCCTAGAGTGAGCTCTTTGAAGTTAGGACGCCCATCCCTGTGTCCAACCCACACTGGAATTGCACTGTTTTTTTTAACCTGCTGAGTGGAAGGTAAAGGAAATCAGGAAGACCCAAAGGGTAGAGAAAAGAGTAAATAGGACAATAGTTTGAAGGTTGGCCCTTGAATTCCTCCGAATTGGAGCATAACTAGAGGATCTCACAGATGAGGTGTGTAGGCATCAATGATGGAGGTGAGAATCTCTTGGAAGTTTTTAGCAGTGGAAATGCTGCCACAGAAGTGCTGTTATGTTAAAGCTGGTGGTACTTTGTTTCAGTGAAACTAGACTTTCCACAAAAAAAGTCCTTTGATAAGTGATGCCTTTTCTACTTCCTGTGAGCAAATTCGTGAGGATTAACATATTGCTACAAGAATCTTGGGATATTTTACATTTATCTTACATCCGTTATAGGCAGTCAGACTCCATTTCACAGATGCTGCTTCCCGGCAAAGCATGCTGAATCCTTTAGATAATCACTATTTACCAGAACAAATAAAAACTCTCAAGATCTGTTATTTGTCACCAGAGTATTCAGACAACCTATTTCCTCCTCCTTCCTATTACTCATCCCCTGTGTTATTCACCCTCCATCCAGTCATTCCCCTCAGGGCCTGTGAACACACCTGAAGCCTCTCCATCACTGACTTTGCTCTTCACCAGGTTGCCCTCCCATTGGCTAATTTAGGAGTGAGTTACATATGACTTAAAAATTATTGTGTTTCCTGTATTCTAGTCTAACCAGACTGCAGTGACAGCCAGAACAGAGACTGGATGATGGGGTGCAGTGGTTAAAGGCACAGATGCTAGAATGAAATTGCCTGTATTTGAATCCAGGTCTTGCCACTTTACTAGCCAGGTGTCCTCAGGCAAGTTACTTAACCTCCCTGTGCCTCAGATTCCTCGTCTGTAAATAAGGATGAAGATGCTACTGAGCAGGATTATTTTGAGGAGGAAATGAGTTCTAATATGTGGAATACTATTCAGAAGAAGGCACAGCCCATAGCACTGTAGAAGTGTTCCTGCTGATTCATGATCTCCCATGCTGTCAAAATAAATGGTTTTATCAATAAATATGTGTTCATTTCCAGAACTTTTTTTTTTTTTTTGAGACAGAGTGTCACTCTGTCGCCCAGGCTGGAGTGCAATGGCACAATCTCGGCTCACTGAGACCTCCACCTCCTGGGTTCAAGCCATTCTCCTGCCTCAGCTTCCCAAGCACCTGAGATTACAGGTGCCTGACACCACGTCTAGCTAATTTTTTGTATTTTTAGTAGAGATGGGGTTTTGCCATGTTGAGCAAGCCGGTCTCGAACTCCTGACCTCAGGTGATCCACCTGCCTCAGCCTCCCAAAGTGCTGGGATTACAGGTGTGAGCCACCACGCCTGGCCCAACTTTTTCATGAATACATAGTCTATATATATAATGTCTACCTATTAGAAAATGCATATAAAATACACATATAAGAAAAAAACACCAGCAATACCACTGCCTACAGATAATACTACTATTAGTATTTTCACATATTCCATTCATTAATTAAATAACATTTACTGAGCACCTAACACATAAAGGGCTTCATGCTCTTGCTGGAGATATAATGATGTGCAAAAACAGACACAGCTCTTGTCTCATGGAGTTTACAGTCTACTGGGGGAGACAGACCTTAATTAAGTAATGATACAAATATATGTGAAGCTGTAACTGGGATCAATGCTATAAAGGAGAGGTACATGTGTAACAGGGAGATAAGATCTGGTTATGAAGGTCTCTTATCCGACTGTTGTGAGGAAGTGACTACTGAAATGAGAATGAACACACAGAAATTAATTTGGAGAAACCAGAAGGGAAGATGTGCCCAACACAGTAAATCCAAAGGCCCTGCAATGGGAGAGAGCATGGTAAGCAGAAGGAAGTAAGAGGCTTCAGTATGGCTGCGGTTGTGTGCTAGATAAAACTGGTGAGTTAGGAGGAGGGCAGGCCTAGGAGAGCTTCACATCCTTTCTTTAGAAATTATTCTTCATGTGATCAACAAATATTTGTGTATGAGGAGCTAGGGACACACTAATTTTATATAAATTGATTTATGACATATACTGCTGTTACTATCAACAATTTCCAGCAATAAATATACAGTAATTTAACCAATCTCTTATTGTTGGAAATTTAGATTTTTTCCCCCAACTTCTCACCATTATTATAAACCACAATTACTTTTACACCAACCTAAAAACAATGCTGTGACAAAGATTTTTGTATGTGGACATATGTCCAAATATTTCTTGGCATAAATTCCTGCAAGTGGAATTGCTGGTTAGGCAACTGCAAATTTGTAAACATATTTTTATACACAGAAAGAGAGAGTCAGGGTTTCACTCTGTTGACCAGGCTGCTGGAACGCAGTGGTGTGATCTCAGCTCACCGCAGCCTTGACCTCCTAGGCTCAAGTGATCCTCCCACCTCAGCCCCATTCCAGTAGCTAGGATTACAGGCACATGCCACCATACTCAACTAATGTTTTGTATTTTTGTAGAGACAGAGTTGCATCACGTTGCCCAGTCTGGTCAGTCTCAAATTCCTGAGCTCAAGTGATCCTCTCACCTTGGCCTCCCAAAGTGTTGGGATTACAGGTGTGAGCCACCATGCACAGCCTTGGAAACATATTTTAATCATAAATGTGGAAAATTAACGTGCTTAACTGTCAAGATGTAGTGTAATGGTCTTTTAAGGGTGGTGCCACTGCTGCATTTGAAGGCATTCTCGGTCACTTTCAGAACTTTTTCATTTTGTTCAGTGCGTGAGGAAGTCACTTCTATTTCTGATCCCCATGGATCCTTCCAAAGACTTCAGGTCCACTCAATACTGACTACCAGTGAAACATCTTTAACTACAGTGCTAGAAGCCTGACTGCCCTCCTCTCCTCGGCCTAAGTTCTTCTTTTTTTTTTTTTCTGAGACGGAGTTTTGCTCTGTCGCCCAGGCTGGAGTGCAATGGCACGATCTTGGCTCACTGCAAACTCCACTTCCCAAGTTCACGCCATTCTCCTGCCTCAGCCTCCCGAGTGACTGGGACTACAGGCGCCCACCACCACGCCCGGCTAATTTTTTTTTTTTTTTGTATTTTTAGTAGAGACAGGGTTTCACCGTGTTAGCTAGGATGGTCTCGATCTCCTGACCTCGTGATCCGCCCACCTTGGCCTCCCAAAGTGCTGCGATTACAGGCGTGAGCCACCGCACCTGGCCACCTAAGTTCTTTTTATCTGTCTCTTAAGGACCTTCCTCTGGACTTGAGACACACTGAAAAAGAAGGTAGTTTCTGATATTCCTTTCCCCTCTTTTGGCCACCTACTTTGTCTGGTTCCATTTTTATGCAGTAAATTCACGAATAGTTAAAGGCAGATAGAGCTCCAGCAACTCTATTACAGAACTGGATTTTCCATTCTACTGAGCTTGTTCACAGACACAACTTTCTCAGGAGGATCTTCATCTCCCCCTTTCAACCTCTACAGCCTTAGATCACCTTCCAAGGCTCCATTTATTGTCAGGCCACAATTTCTAGGATTCTAACAATGAAGACAAACTCTGATACACGATTCACGTCTTTCTTAGCTCCTATTTCCAGTCCTCTTCTCCATTGCAAAGAAAAAAAAAATCCAAACAAACCACAAAAACTGTTTCCAAGTTCAGTGGGACACTCCTGCCAAAACACCCTGACTTCGGGTATGTAAGAGTTAAGAAACAAGAAATAAACACGAAAAGGACCTTAACAGTCAAAGACAGGTTTATTTTGGAGAATAAACCTGAGAGAGGCTCCTTGTCGATTTTGGTCAGGAGCATTTTCTCTTACACACTAAAGGTGTTTAAGGGTTTACGAAGCGGTGAGCTTATTGCAGGTTCGTAATGTTTCTATATGAGGGAAAGTTTATTGCAGGGTTGGAAAGTCTCTGATCAGAGGGGAGGCTATCTCCTGGTTGGCATGTTTCTGGTTGGAAGGGGGTTTATCTTAGGGTTGGAATGTTTCTGGTTATGCGGACATTAGCCATTAGGCTCATGTTTTTGGGTTGGATTTAGGTGGCTTTTTAATCAAGGGGAACTTAAAATGGTGGCAGTTATCCAAGATGGCAACGCTCCTGCTGTCAGGGTAGGCCTTGGGAAGACACCGAGTGTCTTTGTAAACTTAGGTTTCCCCTGTGCCAAGCACAGTGCTGACTGCATTACATGGGTTTTTCTTTTTACTATTCGTGACAACCTTCTGAGGTAGGTATCACTACTGACCCCAGTTTACAGATTACCTGACAACTGAGGCTTAGGGAGGCTGCCATCATCCACAGTCACAGAGCTACTATGAAGGGAGGGAACCCCATTTGTTCCTAAACTGCGATTTAAAAAAAAAAAAGTTGGGGGAAACAGGCCAAGAAAGAAAACACGAAAAGGGTTGAAAAGCAGCAAAAGTAAGCAGTTAGGAGGAAGCGGCCCCTTTCCCGCCTCCTTCCCTCCCGGAGCTGTGCCTTGCGCGGGGCCCGGACGCCCCCAAGCGGCCACCTCTTTGCCTCTGACGCTTCCGGCTACAGGCTGGCGTCACTAGCGAGGGCCTTGCGTAGGCACCGGCCCCTGAGCCCGTGCGGCGTGATACGTCGGGTGAGGGGGAGGGTCTTCCGGCCCTCTGGAAAATCATTTCCGGCAGGAGCCGGAAGACCGTCCCGGATGGCCTCGGGGACGGTCAGTGAGTGGAGGTGAGCTCCGGGATTGCCGGCTTTCCCGCGTCCGCTGGTTGCCTCATGCTGCAGGCCGCGACCGCCAGCCCCCGCTCGCATCGGTGGCGCTGAGGTGCCGGGACAGGAAGCGACATGTCGTCGGGCCTCCGCGCCGCTGACTTCCCCCGCTGGAAGCGGCACATCTCGGAGGAACTGAGGCGCCGGGACCGGCTGCAGAGACAGGCGTTCGAGGAGATCATCCTGCAGTGTGAGCGGCGCCGGTGCGGGCTGGGAGCGGGGCGGGCGGGTCCCGCGGAGGCATGCGGGGCACCCGCGGAAACCTGAGGCCGAGTCCCCGGCGCCGCCCTCACGCTTGGCGGCCGCCCCGGGTACCCCGCGCTTGAGACGCCCCAAGCCTTTTAAATGTTTTTTCTAACTTGTGTTTTATCTTTGGAGGATTTTTCCCTGCTAAACTGTGCGATCTTTGTGGGGAGGCACAGTTCGTGTTTGTATTTGTGAATCCCAGCAGCTCACACAACGCTTATGCACTTAAATAGGTCCCAGAAACATCCCATTTATGGAGTCAGGTTAATGAAACGGTCGTTGACTTTAAGTCGCTGAATTAACATTGCCTTCTCAATGCACTGGAACGGGTGGCCTTTGATTCCTCAAACTTACTTCCCTTACTCTACCTTGGTGGTTTTTTTGCGGGGAAAGAGGGATAGGGGATCAGGGTCTCGCTCTGTCGCCGAGGCTGGAGTGCAGTGGCGGAGATCACGGCTCACTGCAGCCTGAAACTCCCAGGCTCAAGTGCTCCTCGCATCTAAGCCTCCCGAGTAACTGGGATTACAGACGCCCACCACCACGCTCGGCTAAATTTAAAAAAAAAAAAAATTTTTTTTGGAACGAGGGTTCACTGTGTTTCCCAGGCTGGTCTCCAACTCCTGGGCTCAAGCCATCTTCCCACCCCGGCCTACCAAAGTGCTGGAATTATAGGCGTGAGCCTGTAATTCCGGCCCCGCCTTGGCGTTATCATACATTTTGATTCTTAATCTCTTTTAGGTGGGACAGAACCTTTGCTGTTACTGAAATCTTCAGTATGAAAGAGGTGGTTGTCTTTCCGCTTACTGCTTGCAGCTTAAGGGTACAAAAATGTTTGTACCTTTACCTAAATTGTAATGGTCCTACGGTGGTTCCATCTGTCCCTGAAAGTAAACCTGACAACTTTCCCAAGTTATGTTGATCATGGGATTAAAAAAATTGCTGCCTTTTTTGCATTCTGATTGTGCAAAATCAGTAGTTCTCAAACTTAGGTGCACATTAGCATCACCTGTAGATCTTTAAAAAATTACAGATCCCAAGCCACACCCCAGACCAACTAAATCACAATATATGAAGTTAGGACACAGGTATCGTGTGTGAGATTCAGCCTAGAACTGCATGCCAAGTTATCAGTGTTTTTTGATGCTTCCCAAATGACTCTACTGTGCAGAGAAATTTGAGTACTGTGGTAATTATTTGCATGTGTTATTTCATTTTATGTTTCCCAAAATTCTATCTATGAAGCAGGAACGGTTATTGCCATTTTCATACATGGAACTGAGGCCAAGAGAGAATAGGTAACTTCTGAGGTTGCACAGCAGGTTAATAGTGGGACTGGATTTTTTTCTTTTTTTTTTTTTTTTTGAGGCAGAGTCTTGCTCTGTCACCCAGGCTGGAGTGCAGTGGCGCGATGTCAGCTCACTGCAACCTCCACCTCCAGGTTCAAGAGATCCTCCTGCCTCAGCCTCCCTAGTAGCTGGAACTGTAGGCGAGCACCACCACGCCTGACTGATTTTTGTATTTTTAGTAGACAGTGTTCCACCATGTTGGCCAGGCTGATCTTGAACTCCTGACCTCAGGTGATGTACCTGCCTCGGCCTCCCAAAGTGCTGGGATTACAGGCATGAGCCACCATGCCCAGCCAGGACTGGGATTTGAACTCAGGCTTGATGACTAACTTTTGCATTTGCTTTTCTCACTGGCTCCCCCAGCAAATGGTTCTTTGCTTTCACTGCACCCATTGTTTTAACAAAACTGAGAAGAAAGGGGATGTTTTGCTGTTCTAGGAGGCCGTGAAGAACAGTACTGTTTCAGAAAGCCAGAAGCACAAGTCCCTCTTACTCAAAACATGATTCCCTGACAGATGACATAAATCAGTTCATTAGGTGTTTATTGGGTGCTTATGCTTTAAAAGCTAATATCCTTTGAAAGTCAAATTGGGTTGGAGGCTTGACTCACCCCTCACTGAACCTTTTCACTTACTTTCTGAATCTGTTTTGCCTCATCTATAAAATGGAGATGAAGCTTGCCCTGCCCACTTCATAAAAACAGTGCTGTGCATATAAGTGCTTTCAAAGCCGTCTGTATAATAGCCTGTAATTGTAAAGCATTATCTCTTGACATAAATGGAATGTTTTCCTGCGCTTTGAAAATGGCATCTTGATGGGACAGGAACATGTAGAACAGTCAGAATAAGAGGTCAGTTGTGGAAAGAAGATAGCTTTAAAGGGTACTAGAGTAGCCAGTAATGCTTGCCTGAGGGACCAGGAGAGGAGACTGGGATGAGAAGCTAACAATGAACAGGAGAGTGAGACAGCCTTTGCTTGTTAAGATCTTCTGTTTAGGCGGAGGGATTGATGTTTAGGGAGATCGTTTCTATTATAGTTTGTGAAACACCTTCATTCCACTCATTCCAGCCTCCCCAGGCCAGTCAAGTTCTGACCCTCCATCAACCTGGAGTCTGTTCCCTGTTCAGTCCGTGCGTGTGAATCTGAAGAGAACGGTGGAAAGAAGCTGTAGGGGGAGGGGAAAGGCTTCCCTCTGTCTCCAGCCTTCTCTTCAGGGAGCAACCTTTGAGAAGGACTTCTTTTGAATGCCTCTGAGCTTTGGTTTAACATCTGAAGATCTTACTAGAGCCCTTTGACACTGGTGGATTTTAAACCTTTCTCGTAATCATGATGTCCCAGGTTGAAACCAATGCCCAGTTTGGCTGAGCTAATTCATTTGACTAATACAGATGAGAGTGTTTCTACCTAGGAATTCTCTTTTCAGATATCAGGAAGTGGGACTCAAGACTCTTTAAAAGAGAAACAAGCTCTTTGAACAGGAATAGTCACTAGCATAAACCCTGTCTTGTTCTGCTTGGTACCTGCAGAACCGGTACCCATATCTGATCTTACTGGTGCCTGTATGCCTATTACTCTTATTTTTTATTTCATTTTATTTATTTATTTATTTATTTAGAGACAGAGTCTTGCTCTGTCGCCCAGGCTGGAGTGCAGTGGCACGATCTCAGCTCACTGCAACCTCTGCCTCCCGGGTTCAAGCGATTCTCGTGCCTCAGCTTCCCTAGTAGCTGGGACTATGGGCAAGTGCCACCATGCCTGGCTAATTTTTGTATTTTTAGTAGTTTCACCATGTTGGCCAGGCTGTTCTCGAACTCCTGACCTCGGGTAATCCGCCTTCCTCTGCCTTCCAAAGTGCTGGGATTACAGGCATGAGCCACTGCGCCTGGCCTGTGTGCCTATTACTCTTAACTCCATGTTCTTTCTAATCCTGTCTTTTGAGTTTCTGTACTCTGTCTCCTGTCAAATTGTTTATGTTTGGAAAGAGAACTCATTTCCTCTCTTAGCTCTCCCCTCCTGTGTTCTCTCACACGTTAGCATCCTCTGCCCAGTTGCCTGAGCGAGGAGTCTCAGAATAATCTTTGACTTTTTACCAATACGGATCTGTTAATGTAACTGCCTGCTTTTATAATTTCTTATTTCATCATTGCCAGTAAGAAGTCTAAATTTCTGATCCTGCTTTTTCCAGTGTTGGCTCCAACCTTTATTTCCAGCCACTTACCAAAAGACTTTGTTATTCCTTCTGCGTGGCCCATCATCTTCTCTTAAGACTTAACTCATATATCACCACCTGTGATACCATTCATAAAAATGAGTACAAAGTGTATTCTCTGTACCTTTTTTATACTTGACTGAATTAAATGTTAACTCCTTCATGTTGGGGACTGTCATTTATTTATATTTCTAGTTCCCTGACCTAAAAAGTAATTTAACGTGTCAATTACGGTAAAGTTCTCCTGTAGTACTTAAAGGTCCATAGCATTTCACTTTGCCATCGTTTAAAGGTCCATAGCATTTCACTTTGCCATCGTGTTTCATGTGGTTCTTTTTCTTTTTTCCTCCCAAGGTAGAAACAAATAACTTCGGGGGTAGGAAGCATTTTCAGCTCCCTTTAATAGAGAAGACATTCTTGCAGGTGATTCTGTAGGTTACTATGGCTGAGGAATGTGTGTTCCTGTATTTTATCCTTCAATACATGACAAGGTAGGTACCTAGCAAGTGTGTATATGTTATAATAACTTAATTTCTGACTTTTTTATTTTAATAGATAACAAATTGCTGGAAAAGTCAGATCTTCACTCAGTGTTGGCCCAGAAACTACAGGCTGAAAAACATGATGTACCAAACAGGCATGAGATAAGGTATTTTGAAGCTAACCTATATTATTTGTGTCTCTAATGAGATTTATCTCAGTTCAGTTGTCACTTCTCTAATTTAAAAGCAAATCAAGTACTATTTTGTGTTCCGGTTTGTGTCAGCTCCTTTCAAATAAGAACTAAAACCGTGTAATTAAAATTGTTTTTTAAAAGGTATGTACATACCTAGAAAGGTTATTGTCAGTACAGTGCTCTCAGCTTGAGAAGTTTCTTAAGGCAGGTTCCTGTGGTAACCCTACGTCAGTTTCTCATCTAACCTGCCAGGGTTCATGTTTTTTGTTTCTTTGTTTGTTTTTAAATAATCACAGACAAGTATTTCTGAGCAGGTTTTTGTAGATCCTATTAATATAGGATTGATTGGTACATACACAAAAATTGCTTTTGTGCAGTATGGGTCTATTTGATCCTTTTTAGGTTGGTGTTTTTTTCCACATACAAATGGTCCCCAACTTGCAGTGGTTCAACTTACAATTTTTCTTTTTCTTTTTTTTTTCTTTTTTGAGAGTGTCTCGCTCTGTCACCCAGGCTGAAGTGCAGTGGCGCAATCTCAGCTCACCGCAGCCTGCAACCTCCACCTCCCGGGTTCAAGCAATTCTCCTGCCTCAGCCTCCCAGATAGCTGGGATGACAGGTGTCCACCACGACACCTGGCTAGTTTTTGTATTTTTAGTAGAGGCAGGGTTTCACTGTGTTGGCCAGGCTGGTCTCGACCACTTGACCTCAAATGATCCACCTACCTCAGCTTCTGAAAGTGTTGGGATTACAGGCGTGAGCCACCATGCTGGCCAGCTTACAATTTTTCACCTTTATAATAGTGCAGAAGTGATACACTTTCAGTAGAACTGTGCTTTGAGTATCCATCCAACCATTCCGTTTTTTCCCCTTCAGTTTAGTATTCAATAAATTGCATGAGATATTCAACAACTTATTATAAAATAGGCTTTGTGTTAGATGATTTCGCCCAACTGTAGGCTAATGTAAGTGTAACCTATGATACTCAGTAAGTGAGATGTATTGAATATATTCTCAACCTACTATGTATTTTCAACTTCTGATGGGTTTAAAGGGACTTAGCCTCAGTAAGTAGAGGAACATCAGAAATGAGCAGATTGCAATAAGCTCTTATTTTTCTTTAAGACCTAAATTAGAAAAATACCAGTGTGTGCTGGGCGCGGTGGCTCACAGCTATAATCCCAGCACTTTGAAAGGCTGAGGCGGGTGGATCATGAGGTCAGGAGTTCAATACCAGCCTGGCCGAGATGGTGAAACCCCGTCTCTACTAAAAATACAAAAATTAGCCAGGCCTGATGGCAGGCGCCTGTAATCCCAGCTACCTAGGAGGCTGAGGCAGAGAATTGCTTGAACCTGGGAGGCGGAGGTTGCAGTGAGCCAAGATCACACCACTGCACTCCAGCCTGAGTGACAGGGCAAGACTCCGTCCCAAAAATATATATATCTGTGTGTGTGTGTGTGTGTGTGTGTGTGTGTGTGTGTGTGTGTATTAATAGAATATTTCATGAGATACGTATTTGTTCATGGTGGTGTATTTGTGTTTACTGGGTCATTTGTGTGCATTTATGTATATTTGAAGTCTTATTGTTCTCTTCCATAATATTCATTGTGTTTGCATGTTAAATTTGGTATGGGAACAGTAACCATTATTTCTCTGAAATCTACACACATTTAGCAATTGTAAAAACAAGGTTGGTGATTTATGGTGTCTAGAAATGGTAGCTGTAGCCTGATGTATTTACTCCTAGAGCTGTAGTCTCCTCATCTGGCAGGATGATCTCCTGGTAGAGGACGGAGTGGGAAAGATACCAGAGAACAGATGGCTTGGCAGGGCCTCACTTCCGTCATTGGTTTGTAACAGTTCAGGAGATCCTGCCTGGCTGTGGCCCTGGGAGGCCTTCTGTAGTACTTAAGATATTAGTTTTAGTATTTTGGTTAACTTTAGGTGTAGATAATGCTGTTTTACCATTTTCATCTAAATTCATCCAATTGAAAACTAAAAACATTTCTATCTAATTAAACCCTTGGTGACTGTATTCTTGTATTCTTTATCTGTTAGCCAAACTCATGTGCTTGGAATATGCAGCAGTTCTTTTGGCTGAATTTCACTAGGATAGTCTTTTTTGAGGCAGGGTATCTCTCTGTCCCCCAGGCTGGAGTGCAGCGGCACGATCATGGCTTACCGCAGCCTCAACCTCCGGGGCTCAAGCAATCCTCCTGCCTTAGCCTTCTAAGTACCTTGGAGACTGCAGGTGTGCACCACCATGCCAGTCTAATTTTTTAATTTTTTGTAGAGATAGGGGTCTCACTATGTTACCCAGCCCGGTCTTTACTCCTGGGCTTAAGTGATCCTCCCTCCTCAACCTTCCATTAGTGTTGGGTTTACAGGCATGAGCCACCACATCCAGTGGGATGGTCATTTAGTTGGAGGTCTTGTTATAAATCAGGTTCATTCAGCCCACTCACAGCAAATTAATCACTGAGACGATGGGTTTTGTGAGAGTTTATTCATAACATGGCCAAGCAAGGAGGCAGGAGAACAGGTCTCAAATCCACCTCCTTGAAAATAGGGATGGGGGTACCTATGCGATAGAAAGCAGGGTGGTCTAAAGTGCAGGAAGAGGTGACTGGTGGGTAGGAAAGATGAGGTCGTTGGGGCTTCCATGCAAGCATAATCTAGCTATGTGGTTCCTCATAGGACACATGCAGAAAATGGTGGCATTAGCGTCATCTGAGGGAGGAGTGTTTTGGCCCTCTGATCACCTCTTGGGCATTCACACAGGCCCAGTTGAAGGGTTGGGGGTCTCAGCCGGCTGTAATGAGCAAGAGCTGCCGCCTAGTTCCTGGAGAAAAACTTTAAGCACCAGTTATTGTAGTGAGTCACAGTCTGTTATTATTTACAAGGAAGCTAGTGGGAGTTTAGTTATGTATTTTTTGGCAACTTGACTTGTTAGTGGGAGTTTGGAACTAGAAAAAAGTGATGAAAGCAGGCAAGGCAGGTTGAATGGTGGGCTTCATCAGGTTACTCCTTGTTCGGTCTTTCCATTTCCACAAATGTTATCCATAATAAGTCTGCCCTCCTGACTTCTTTGTTTCCATTCACGGTATCGTTGTTTTCCACGAGTCATCTATGGTTCCTTCTTCCCTCTATATCTTCCCCTCCCCACTTTCCTTTATTCCTCATATTCCCCATATTCACTAAGCCCATTGGTTCTCCACCCCCTAGCCTCTTGCATCCTTTGGTTTACATTTATTTTGCCACCTCCTTTGTTTATTTATCTTCTTATTCCCAGACTGTGGTGAGAGCCTCATTCACTCAATAGACTTCTGTGACCGCAGTGTGGGCTGGGCATTAGGGGTGTAGAATGAGTAAGCCAGAGTCCCTACTCTGAGGAGGAGTAGAGTCTAGTGGGGGAGACCAACTCAAAGGGACATTTGCTAGAGCATGTAAGGGTGTTCACAGAAGCTGGGCACTTCATTGGTTTCCTTTCCCCTCCTTCCTGTCTCTCCAAAGTCCCTGCCTGTCTCATCCTAATTAACTGTAAAACAGTGCACACTGTGCTTAAATAGTCATCTGCATCAGTTATCAGACTTTCTCTTAAGTATTTTCATCACTTTGCCTACAGTTTAAAATCAAACTTTTCAGCCTCAAAATTGTTTATTCTAAGCATGGTTCCTGGACTAGTGGCATCATCTGGGAAGTTAGAAACAAAGATTCTTGGGCCCCATCTCACACCTATTCTATTAGAAACTCTAGGGGTGGGACCTGGTAATCTGTGTTTTCAGAAATGCTTTAGGTGATTCTAGTGACCTCTAAAGTTTGAGCACTACCACCTTTACTGCTACTCAGACTTCCTGGAACCAGCAACATTCCTATCACCAGCGCACAGAAAGTGAGAAATGCAGATTGCTGGGCCTTGCTAGGAAGGCAGATCACCTGTTAGTGGGCTCCAGGAATCTGTGCTTGAAACATGCCCTCCAAGTGATTGTTTTTTTTCTACTTGCCAAAGCACCTTCGTGGGCTGATGATATTCATTGTAGGTAAAATAGGAAGTCCTTGGAGGCTTTGGGTCGTGGAAAGAGCTGTATCCTGCTTGTCTGAGTCTCTCCTGGCATTTCTGTTGAGTTCTGTGTCTCGGTAGACTTTGAAGTTTAAGCATCTAATCCTGAGGCCCCTCTGCCTGATGATCTTGCCTCCATTTTGCCCTTCCTAGGAGATTCCTACTTTAGTTCCTCTTGGGAAACCTCTCCCAAAATGAAACTATGCTTGTCTGGGGAAATCTTTGCCTCTGAACATGATTAACACTTTCTCTTGTCACTCTTTGATACACTTTTGTTTTTCTTTATGTTGTTAGTTTTAGTTTGTTTTTTTTTTGAGATGGAGTCTCGCTCTGTCGCCCAGGCTGGAGGGCAGTGGCGCAGTCTCAACTCACTGCAACCTCCGCCTCCGGGATTCACGCCATTCTCCTGCCTCAGCCTCCTGAGTAGCTGGTACTACAGACGCCTGCCACCACGCCCAGCTAATTTTTTGTATTTTTAGTAGAGATGGGGTTTCACTGTGTTAGCCAGGATGGTCTCGATCTCCTGACCTCGTGATTGCGCCTACCTCGGCCTCCCAAAGTGCTGGAATTACAGGCATGAGCCACCGCGCCCGGCCTGTTGTTAGTTTTTATTTCATGAATCTGTTCTATAGCTAGCCAGCTCCTTGGAAGGCGGGACCACCTCCTACATGCTTGAGTCCAGAAGTTCGAGGCCAGCCTTTGCAACATAGATACCATCTCAATACTTTTTTAAAAGGTGGGGAAGATTTGATAATTATTCTGCCTAATTTGGGATAGCTTCATGTAAAGTGTGTTCTACTTTCTAATCTCTTGGCATTACTTCTTGGGCTAAGATTGGGAAAGTACCAGGTTACCTCAAGATAAGGTATTAGTTTGTACTCAGCTATGTAATAACAATACATATAGAGATGGAAAGACTGCTATACTGCCACCTTTATCCCCCTCTTTTTATTTTATTCTAGGTCATATGGAGTGGGCAGTACTTTCCGCTCTCTCCAGATGTTGATATCCTAGTGTCCAGCCTTATTCCTTTTCTCCATCTATAAGCTTTCCCCAGGCACTGATTTCAGCTACTCACTATAATCTGATAATTCTCACCTGTGACACCAGCCTTCTCTCGAACTATAAATCCACAGTTCTAGTTATCTTCTGCTGTTTCTGAGATACCATGCAAACACTTGGCAAAGATTCCAAAACTGCATTGATTCTGGAGGTGATCTGAACTCACTCCTGTGGCCTTAGGCACATCTATTTGCTGACAGTGTCTACATGTTAGCCTCTAGCTTGGACTTCTCCCTGAGGTTCGGACTCTTTTTTTTTTTTTTTTTTTTTTTTTGAGACTGAGTCTGGCTCTGTCGCCCAGGTTGGAGTGCAGTGGCTGGATCTCAGCTCACTGCAAGCTCCGCCTCCCGGGTTTATGCCATTCTCCTGCCTCATCCTCCGGAGTAGCTGGGACCACAGGCGCCCGCCACCTCGCCCGGCTAGTTTTTTGTATTTTTTAGTAGAGACGGGGTTTCACCATGTTAGCCAGGATGGTCTCGATCTCCTGACCTAGTGATCCGCCTGTCTCAGCCTCCGAAAGTGCTGGGATTACAGGCTTTAGCCAACGCGCCCAGCAGGTTCGGACTCTTAATACTCAGTTTCCATTTGGCAATACTCAGTTTTCACTTGACTGGCCACAACTGAACTCTTTAGGCCTCCCCCAAAACCTGCTCCTCCCACAGTCTTGCGCATTTCAGTGGCTGACACCTGCCTTCTACCAGTTGCTCAGGCCAAAAGCCTTGAGTTATCCTTGACTGCTCTCTTTCTTCACACCCCATACCCAATTCAAAGTCAAGTCCTGTTAGCACTGTCTTTGGAATGGATTTAGAATCAGACAGTATCTCACCTCACTGCTCCCACCCTGGTCTGGGCTGCACTGTCCCATATTTGCACTTTGCAGTAGCCTGCTGGCTGGTCTTCCTATTTCGGCCCTTACCCCCATGCAATCTGCTCTCCTTTTAAAACCTAAGTCATTCAGCTGCTCAGAGCCCTCCAGCAGCTTCCCTTCATGCCTAGTATACCTCACAGCCCTCAGAGGGGTCCACAAGGCTCTGCATCATCTCCCCACCTCCTCCTTGGCCGCACCTCCTCTGTCCCCCTGTGCTGGGGCTTCAGTCACCCTTCCTGCAAATACACCACCTGCTGTATGCCTCTCCAGGCCCTGCTGCTGCTACTCCCTCTGTCCAGAGGGCCCTTCCCCCAGGGGTCCACATGACTTGTTCCTCACTTCCTTGCAGTCTCTAGTTGTGTGTCACATTGGAGAAACCCTCCTCAATTACATTAAAATAGCCCCCCCACCCCGTTCCCTTTCTTCTCCTGGAGTTTTCGGCAAGCACATGTGACTCCTGACCTCACACATGCTCTCAGTTGAGTGTCAGCTGTGTGAAAGCAGAGGCCTGCACTCACTGCTGCATCATCGGCACTCAGGTCCTTGCTGAGCCAGTGGTCCTCGTTGGTGTGCCTGTTACTGGGACTTCATTCAGGAACTTTCCACCCTTTATTCCTGACATGCCTGGTGGTCACGGTTGCTTTGCTTTTTTCCACGTGTTTCACGTCTCCTCCTTTCCACTCATAGTGCCTGTAACCACAGCTGCTGGAGACACCCAAATGGTTTATTGGCTTTGTGAACATGTTTCTGGAGTTGTTGTTTCACTGCCTAATTGGAAAGATTTGGAGTCTCATTTTTCCCCTCCTTTTTTTGCACATTCTCTTCATCTGCCTGGTTTGCCAATTTAGTCCTGGACATGATGGCACATGGAATGACAGTCAGCTACAAGAAATGGCCCAGCTGAGGATCAAGCACCAAGAAGAACTGACTGAATTACACAAGAAACGTGGGGAGGTAAAGCTAGCCCTTTTTCTCATCTGTCTTCTGCCCTCTATGAGAGTCCTGTGGAGAGTGGGGGAGCTCAGTCACTTCTCACCAGAATTGGCAGCGGCCTTAGCCATATGTGGCATCAAAAGCCCCCTCTATAGGAATAAAAGGGCAAGGAAAACAGAATGAAAAGACCAGGCAGATTGAGGCCCATCGCCAGAAGGGCCATCCTGTGAGAGCGCTGCCAGTTACCATGCTCCAAAATCAGCATGAGGGGCAAGAGTGGAGAGGCTTTAAAGAACAAAAAAGCCTGCTCCCTGGCCTGCTGAAGGCCTCACTGATGGTTTCATAAAGCTTTTCAGTACGAACCCTGAAATTTCAGAGACGTCATGAGAAAGAATCAAGTCCAGGGATGTGTTCACCTGGATGGTGGTCTTACAGCAAAGCTCCGTTTGGGAAAATACAGTTCACCATCAATACAGCTGAATTGATTATCTTTTCAGCAGAAACGAGTCTCCAAAAAGGTAGCTGAGGTTGAGGAGTAGACAGTTGTCCTCAGCAAGCCCCGGCAGTCACCTGGAACACTTCTCATTCCAGCCAAGCTGTCCTTCAACAGGGAGCGGCAGGGACAGTTCCCCTTTGTGTCCCCATAGGTGCCTCGGCTCCTTGCTGTCACCCAGCTCATTTATTGTTTCTTAAATATAAATCGCCACCCACTGTGTAGTTTCCAAGTGAGGTCCTAAAATTTTATTTATAAAAGTATTCTTCTTTATCTCCCAGTTAGCTCAATTGGTGATTGACCTGAATAACCAAATGCAGCAGAAGGACAGGGAGATGCAGATGAATGAAGCAAAGTGAGTAGAGACCGTGCCTCCTTGGAGCCTGGTCATTGGGTCCCATGTCCTTGTTCTGCTGACCTCTTGTGAGCAAGGCCAGTGGCAGTGAGTGGCCACAGTGCACTTAGCGAGAGTTTGATTTCCAGTGCATGCACGCTCTGGGATCCTTTCCTACCAGCTCTGAGAAGGAAAAGCAAGGATAGTCCCGCAAGCTTCTAGCGTCCTCCTAGGGAAGTCGCCTTGGCTCTTGCAAGTTTCCCAGAGACACTCAGCAGCTTTCCTGTGCCCGCTGTGTGTGGGAGCTGGTATGTTCCTGTGGTGGAGGTGGTAGGGCCAGGATAGCTGAGCGCATGGCCCTTGGGAAAAGGGGAATGAGTTTGTGAGCAAAACTGTTGCTGATCAGAGAGAAGCCTGACAGACAAGATAAATCGGGACTCTGAATCCTGAGACCTTGGAGCTGGGGTGGGGGGTGCTTGGGTTTCCTTAATATGTGAAAAGGGGTCTAGAGGCTTGGAAAGGCAGGGCACTTGCTCAGGCATTCTTGCTTGGGAAATGTCAGAGCTGGTGAAATATATAGGGTTTCCAGCCTCCTTTTAACTCCCCTTTACCAATCTAAGCATCGAACGTTTCTCTTCCTTCACGTCGTGTTTTTCTTAGTCATTAATTGGATTAATTTCACCTTAAGTGTTTCCTCTCCTAATGGATTATCCTGTACCTCATGGGGATGGGCCTGGCTAAAAGATGTAACAGACACAAAGTGTTAAGCACGCAGCCAGGTCCATCTGGCTCTGGCACAGGGCTCTGGCACAGGGCTCTGGCGAGGTACTATTCCTCCTCTGATGTCATGCTTCCAGAATCGCAGAATGTTTGCAGACTATCTCTGACCTGGAGACGGAGTGCCTAGAACTGCGCACTAAGCTTTGTGACCTTGAAAGAGCCAACCAGACCCTGAAGGATGAATATGATGCCCTGCAGATCACTTTTACTGCCTTGGAGGAAAAACTGAGGAAAACTACGGAAGAGAACCAGGAGCTGGTCACCAGGTGGATGGCTGAGAAAGCCCAGGAGGCCAATCGGCTCAATGCAGAGAATGAAAAAGACTCCAGGTGGGCTATCAATCCACAGTTAGTGGTTTCCATCCTTAGTAGAGTAGAACCTAGGTCTTTGCAAAGAAAGACATAAACCTGGCAGTTACTGCAGGAGGTTTGCCAGGGAATTCTTTCAGTGTTTCGAGGAGAAAGGCTAATTCTGAACAATATAAATTAAACCAGAGTTAGAAAAAGGAAAGAAACCACAATTAGAATTCTTCCCTATAATTTTGTGAAGCTTTTTGTGTCCATATAAAAATTCTGGTCTTGCTAATGCACAAGGAGGCTATAATACAACCTCATATGAATATAGATGTGAAATTCCTAAATCAGACTCATTGATAGATTTTTATTTATTTATTTTTTGAGACAGAGTTTTGCTCTGTTGCCCAGGCTGGAGTGCAGTGGCGTGATCTCAGCTCACTGCAACCTCCAGCTCCCGGGTTCAAGTGATTCTCCTGCCTCAGCCTCCTGAGTAGCTGGGATTAAGGCATACGCCACCATGCCTGGCTGATTGTTGTATTTTTAGTAGAGGTGGGGTTTCACCACATTGGCCAGGCTGGTCTCAAACTCCTGACCTCAGGTGATCCACCTGCCTCGGCCTCCCAAAGTGCTGGAATTACAGGTATGAGCCCCCGTGCCTGGCCATTGACTTCTAAGTCTGTTTAAGATAAATCTGAAACGTACTGAGACGTGGGAATTAAAAAGTGGATTATCAAGAAATCAGTTATATTAGGAATTCGAATCTCTGTTGTGGGAAATGTGTGTGTTTAAAAGCTGCCCCAGAGAGTCCAGTCATCCCCTGGTCAAGGCCCACTGATCAACCATCTATATACACTCTTACTAAAACCTACAAGAGAACAAGGAGAGGTTCACTCTCACAACTCATAGAGAACACCGATCTGGATGTTCTGGCCAACCAACCATTGAAAATAAGGGGTGATCATCCACCTAGAAACCTAAGAAAATGAGCTGAAAAGCTATTAAAACAAGTTCAGCAGATGCCAGGTGCAGTACATAGCTCATGCCTGTAATCCCAGCCCTTTGGGAGGCGGTGGCAGGAGGATAGCTTGAAACCAGGAGTTTCAAGAGCAGCCTGAGCAACATAGTGAGACTCCATCTGTACAAAAAAAAAAACAAAAAACTAAAACAAAAGCTAAGCATGGTGGCATGTGCTTGTGGTCTCAGCTACTGAGGAGGCTGATGGGGGAGAGTTGCTTGAGCCCAGTAGGTTAAAGCAACACTGAGCCAAAGTTGTGCCACTGCATTCCAGCCTCAGTGACAGAGTGAGACCCCATCCAGAAACAAACAAAAAACTCTACAGATTAGAACATACATATTTTTAAATCCCCATATCAGTAGTTTTGAGTTTGAAGAGATTATTCCAGTTAATTTAAAAGTGAATAAATGACAATAGGAAAGAGTCTTTTAAAGGGAATAAATTACGATAGGAAAGAGTCTTTTAAAGGGTGATGATGGAAAAACAAGTTAGTATATCGAAGAGATGATCTGCGCTACCGTCGTTTGTGGCAGCACCATTCACAATAGCCAAGATATGGATTAATCTACATATTCATCATTGGCTTAATGGATAAAGAAAATGTGCTGTACATATACACAATGGAATATTATTCGCTATAAAAATGAATTAAATCATGTCATTTGTAACCACTTGGATGGACAGTATATTAAGTGAAATAAGCCAGACACAGGAAGGCAGATATTGCATGCTTCTACATGTGGGGCTAAAAGAAAAATGTTCTAGAGATACAGAGTATAACTGTGGTTACCAGAGCATGAGAAAAGTAGTGGGGAGGGAGGTTAAAGAGAGATTACTTAATGGATACAAAAATGCTGCAAATGGATACAGAAATACTGTTAGAAGGTGTAAGATTGGCCCGGTGTGGTGGCTCACTGTAATCCCAGCACTTTGGGAGGCCAAGGAAGGTGAATCACTTGAGGTTAGGAATTCGAGACCAGCCTGGCCAACATGGTGAAATCCCGTCTCTACTAAAAATAAAAAAATTAGCCGGGCTTGGTGGCGCATGCCTGTAATTCCAGCTACTCAGAAGGCTGAGGCAGGAGAATCGTTTGAACCTGGGAGGTGGAAGTTACAGTGAGCCAAATATCATGCCACTAGGCTCTAGCAAAAGCAAAACAAAAAGAATATTTAGTGCTGTGGAAAATGCCTAAAATTAATATAACCAAAAATAGGACACAAAATGTTTTCATACAAATGATTCCAATTTTGTATACTTTTTAAAAAAAATGACTGGAAGGAATTATATGTACTGTTACTGGTGTTGATGTTTGGGGGTGGTGAGATTATGGTTTTTGATTTCTCATTTTATACTTATCTGTATTTTCTAATTTTCTGGTTTCTATTAAGAGAAAGTAAGCTGTCCTTTTTGTATTGTTCTGTCTCACATTTACTTGAAGCAGACTTGTTTGGCTTATGCCATGGAACCTGTCAGAAGTGTGAGGGTGTTAGGGGCCTCAGGTGAGCTAGATGCTGCTAGGTTGCACGTTCACGTCAGCTGAGAGGCTGCTAGAGGGAGAAGTTGGGGAGATGTGTGGCGATGTCAAGGAAGAGCCCCTGAGCAGTGCAGTGGACGGGGTCCTCGTTCCCTAGCCCACCCTTTGAAGCATCTTCCTAGGGATGTGCACTCGGAGGTATCATGTGATTGCAGATGTGGGGCCTGAGGAGTCTTCATTTGCTTAGGTAGATTCTCCTCCTAGAAACCTTCCCGCCTCATTACCCACTTCCTGCCTCCCCAGCTTAGATGTCCCTCATCTTCCTGCTTCGGGCAGCTGTGGTTTACCTGGGCCATATGTAGCACACTGTTTTGAAATAGCTCTTCACACACTGCCTCCTTCCCTATGCTGCCACGTGTCCCTGCGGTCAGGCACAGTGACTGCTTCATAAGATGCACTCGGGGCCGGGTGCGGTGATTCCCGCCTGTAATCCCAGCACTTGGGGAAGCCGAGGCAGGTGGATCACCTGAGGTCAGGAGTTCAAGACCAGCCTGGCTAACATGGAAAAACTCCGTCTCTACTAAAAACACAGAAATTAGCTGGATGTAGTGGCGGGTGCCTGTAATCCCAGCTACTCAGGAGGCTGAGACAGGAGAATCGCTTGAACACAGGAAGGGGAGATTGCAGTGAGCTGAGATGATGCCACTGCCCTCCAGCCGGGGTGACAGAGACAGACTCTGAACTATTAAAGACCTTTCCTTTCAGCTATAGTGATGAAACCCTGATGAGAGGTGGTGGTTTCCTCTCCCTGTGACCCTAGGTCAAGTTTTTATCCCCACCTTGCGTATATTTCTATAACCTAAAGTTATAGAAAGTAGATATCAGACAATCAACAAGTGCTTTAATCATAGAGTAGTGGTACTCACACACCTCATACTGAGACTCTTGTTTTTCCTTGAAGAGAGTTAGTTCACAGGTTGTCTCTTCCAGGTAAGAAAATTTGGATAAATTGTATTTTTGGTAATTTGCCCTGTAAAAGTTATTTTTCGTCTTTGAGGTATAAAATTAAAAGCGTATTGTACTTTTAAAGCTATGCCCACACCCCTTCCCAAGATTCTGCTATACTGCCTAGAGGACTTACCTTCATTTTGAGAATTATCACTATGGTAGAAGTTAAGAGAAAGTTCAGCAGAATTCTTGATTGCAGCTCAGTAGCATTGCTGGAATTCTAAATTAGGAGTCCTCCACCTAACAGGTATAGCCATAGTTAGAAGTGAAATTTGTCAAAGAAGAGAGTGTGAGGTCAGGGTTAGAAGTTAGGGAGTTTCTGAATTTAGGACTTGAATGAGAGACAAAAATGATTCTGAGAAGGGGAGTTAGTGGATGAAACTTTGACCATGGTAAAATTTGTCACAGCCAAGACTTCTATTAAAGTTTCTAATGTTACGTAAATTTTGACAGTTGAATCTCACTATACCTCAGTTTCCTCATTTATAGGTGGCAATAATGGTATTTACCTCAAAAGGTTGTTATAAGGCTTAAATGAGTTAAAGTCTGTAAAGTAATTAACAATGTCAGGTACGGGGAAGTCCTAGGTAAATCGTCACTGTTAGTAATCATGCTGTGGGTGTGTGAAAGCAGGTTGAGCATCCCATATCCCAGACTCCACAATGCTCCAGAATCTGAAACTTCTTGAGTACCAGCATGACACTCGAAGTACTCATTGGAGCATTTCAGATTTCCGATTTACCGTCAATTCAACTGAATTTCATGTTTAGACCTGGATCCCGTCCTCAAGATTCATATCATGTTTATGCAAAACTTCGAAATCTGAGAAAATGAAAAATCTGAAACACTTGTAGTCCCAAACATTTCAAGTAATGGATGCTCAACCCGTATAAGACTATTTGCTTCAGAAAACTTAAGCCACAACCATGACTAACCCTCAGTGAGCCTGAGGCACGTGTCTATCCTAAGAGACCCTGGGTCCCAGAAGGCAGGCCTCCTCCTTTACCAGTTCACTGCTTTCTCTAATAATGTGACCTATCTCTCTTCTAGGCTTTACTCTGAAACCATTTAAAAAGGGAGCCTCACTGATGTTATGAGTTTGGGCTTGTGACTTTTGAGTATTTTGCTCAGGGTAGTTGTTATTTCACATGCACTGAATGTGTTATTAGAACTGGTAGCTTCTGGAGAGCCCAAACCCCATGCTTTCTTAAGCAGACATAAATGGTGGGCTTTTTTTTTTTTTCTCTCAAAACAGGAGGCGGCAAGCCCGGCTACAGAAAGAGCTTGCAGAAGCAGCAAAGGAACCTCTACCAGTCGAACAGTAAGTAGAGATAAATGAATCGAAACTGTGCTCCTGAGAGTTTGGCTCTCTTAAAAGTTTTGTTTCGTTTTGTTTTTGTTTTTTTTGAGACAGGGTCTTGCTCTGTTGCCCAGGCTGGAGTGCAGTGGTGTGATCATAGCTTCTAATGTTTTTATTTCTGTAAAGTCATCTTACAGATTTTAGAAAGAATACTTAAAGGAAGAAAATGAAACCATACAATTCTTCCACCACTCAGAACTAACATTCATATATCATTTTAATTGTATTTTGGTGGCTTCTGATTTCTCACTTACAAATAATGTACTAATATGGCCTTTGACCCTATTTCTGATTACTTACTTGAGATAGATTATTGAAAATAAAATTTGGTGGGTCAAAACTTTTGGAACATACCACCAAACAACCTTCTGAAAAGTTTCTGTTCATCAGCTGTGAATGTGAATTCTAACTTCCTGCACTCGGTACACATCACTGCCTTGCAGTTTCCTGTTGGCACTTTGAACGATCAGTTTTCTGCCTCTCCACTGTGCCTGCCATGTGATGCTGCGGTGGGGTTGTTCCTGTTGTTTTGCTTGTTTTTTCCCTCCTTGCTCCCTTTGGTTTGTAACTTAAAGTGGAAACATAAGTGAAAACTAAGAGCTCTTGGAACAGAAGGAATTGAACTAGCTCTGGAGCTTTTCCTAGTCTGCCTACAAGTTAAGGTGGGGTATCTTCTCTGAGATTTGAAGCTTTGATAGTGGCAGAAAACAGTTTCCTTTGCTCTAGGATGTTTCTTTTCTATTGAAATGTGTTTTGGAATATAGTTTTAGAGTTACGATCCACTATTTTTTTAAAATGTTGGTTGATTCCTTATAAGAGGAGGGGTTTAAATTCAACTAGGAGTCATTCATCAACTAACGTTTTAATTTATAAAGAAACAAAGGTTCCCATATCATGCCTTTGCTTTAGATGTGTAGGATACGTGTGTGTCTACACACTCAGATGTGGAAGATTAATCTCAGTTGTATTTTCCCGTCACAAAGTAAATAAATAGTTGACCTGGAAATGATATTTGGTTTCTTCAAAATAACAGTTTATAAAAGTGTCATTTGCATAACCAGGTTGACTGTGACAGTTTAGACAGGTTGAGCATCCTGCCCAAGATCATACAGGAAGGGGCCGAGGTAGGATGCAAACACAGGGCTGTAAAGGCCTGTTATTTTATTTTATTTTGAGACAGAGTTTCACTCTTGTTGCCCAGGCTGAAGTGCAATAGTGCGATCTCCGCTCACCACAACCTCCACCTCCCGGGTGTAAGTGATTCTCCTGCCTCAGCCTTCCAAGTAGCTGGCATTACAGGCATGCACCACCATGCTCAGCTAATTTTGTATTTTTAGTAGAGACGGGGTTTCTCCGTGTTGGTCAGGCTGGTCTTGAACCCCTGACTTCAGGTGATCCACCCGCCTTGGCCTCCCTAAGTGCTGAAAATACAGGCATGAGCCACTGCGCCTGGCCTAAGGCCTGTTCTTAATCTCTATGCTTCCCTAAGGAGTTTCTGGGTCAGAGGACATACATCTTTGAAAGGTTTTGATAACTTAGCAAATGCTAGTGTTTCCTTATGGTCCCGCTGCTAAGCACAGTTCCAAGTACTTACAACCATAAAATTCTATTTTCAACAGGACATTGTCAAAGGCTCAGCTCATATTTGCAGTTCCTGTCTTTGCAGTTCTCTCGTCCTTGTGTGGGCACAGGTGACTCTCACAAACCTAGCTCTCTGGGAAAGCCAATCAAAAAAATAAAGCACAGCCTTGTCCTCTTTCTTTAGACCTGGCTTTATTCCCTTCTACATCCTGGCCAAAATGTGGTGCAATAATTACACATAGTCCTGGAATAAATAGCTAAGGAAAATAAATTTACTTTGACTTGGTTTAACTTGCTTAGTAACAGGTTCTTAAGTATATATTTACCTAATCCAGATAATTACTCATTGAAAAGGAAAAATCTTTCTGTCAAGTTCTTGTGAATCCAAACAGTAGGTGGTGAAATCTTGGGTTATTACATTTAATTATCTTACTTCTCCATGAAGGTTGCATGTCAGTAGGAGGTCATTAAGACCAAAATAATTACTTGCGCTCCTCCAACTAGGAAAGACGTGGTCCATATGAGGAAGGGGGATTCCAGAGGTGCTTTCCATCCGCTGGGACAAACAGCAACAAAGGGAACATGTCCTATGACTTGATTATGTCATTTGAAGTGTGATGGGCTCTCCTAATGTCAGAGACACTATATATTTAAACATAAAATATGCAGAGTCAAAAATGCATAGTGCTTACATTTTGTTTTTCTATTTTTTAATTAAAGTAATATTTGAAACTGGGTTAAGTCAGCTGTTGATTTCATGGCCCATTTAGCCATCCCTTCTTTCCCTGAATTCTTCTCCCTACACTGTTGTTATTATGTTCTATAGCTGCTGCCCCAAACTATCCTAGGTACCCCTCAGCCCTTGTATCATGAGAACTGTGCTTGGTGAGTACTGCAGCCCTTCAACTGTGATGCTGACTGCTAATGGAATGCCCTGCTTTGGCACTGGTTATGTGATTATAGACTCAACAGATCATATTTCATTGCTTTCCAAGTAGGAACTGTGTTTATACCTAAAAGGATCAAAAGCTCACTTTTAAATTTATTCTCAGTTGAAATTCTGGATTTGATTTGAACAGGTTAAATGTTTATTTTAGGGTTGTTCAGAACATGGCAGCTCTTCCTTTTTTTCCAAAGAACCTTTAAAACATTGCTGTCATAGACAAGTGATTTAAGATCTAACTAGAAAATGATATTAGCATTTGCAGAACAGATTAATCACAGAGCTCCTGTTCAAGAGAATCAAAGAATCTCTTGCCTTTCTTTCAGGGATGATGACATTGAGGTCATTGTGGATGAAACCTCTGATCACACAGAAGAGACCTCTCCTGTGCGAGCCATCAGCAGAGCAGCCACGTAAGTAGGCGGGTTTGAGCCAGGGGAAAAGGCAGCTTGAGAAGCAGTATGAAGGCACATCTGTGGACCTGACAAAGAATGCAGTCAGATGCACCCAACTCCCTACCGCTTTGCTGGGACACCCAGCGTTGTACACACCACAGAGGTGTCTAGTCTTTCTCACTGCACCTCTGCTTAATGGGAGGGAAGCAGAACATGGGTGGCTTCAAATGCTTCTAAATACAAAAAAATGTAGTGGCTTACTAAAATATGGACAGTTAAACCTTATTAAGCAGAATGATTGTTTAGGTTTAGATCATCCTGTTTCATTCTTCCTAGGGCTTCCCCTCCCCACCGCCCTTAAAAGAGTGGGGATTGGTTAGGTAGCCAGGAGTTGTGAGGTGTTAGTTGTCTAATGCTTTATTTGCAGGGAAATTAATTTAATACTAGGGAACCTTGTTTCTTTTGAAACTTCTAGGCTAGGTTTTCCCTTTTCCCTTCCCACTATTTTCTGGCAGTTTGGTACTATGTTGGGTTTCTCTCGGCTGGGGTTTGGGAACTAAACGGGAAACATACTCCCAGGTACCTGTTTTTGTGGGCTGTTTTTATTGATTGATTATTTGGGCAAAATGTTTCTAAGGTTTAAACCTATCCTCCCCTCCTCTTTAGTAAGCGACTCTCGCAGCCTGCTGGAGGCCTTCTGGATTCTATCACTAATATCTTTGGGTAGGTTAGAAGACCTTTCCTTTTTAAAATGTGTATAAGTATACCTAAGTATATGTACATGACTTATTTTTATTTTTTAAATGTACACCAGGTTTCAGTGGTGCAGAGTATACATGTGCCTTAATATCAGCTTTTCATTTAGCTTCTTCCTTTTTCCCTCAACTTCCTTTCCTCTTAATCTCGCTGCGTGCTGATCTCTGGCCTTTCCCTTTAGTCTGTCCGAGTCTCCCCTTTTGGGACATCATTCTTCTTCTGATGCTGCCAGGTGAAACTATTATCCTCTCTTAGTCCAGCATGTGAGTGTGGGTCCTTAACAATTATGCCGATCACCGCTTCACTGCCCTCAGTCATCAGATGTTCACGTGCTAACCCGGATGCTTTGCATGTTCCTAGGAATGCCGGGAGCCCTCAGAGCAGGGCTGCCACCTTGAACACTTTGTACAGTACTCATGCTCTTGTTGCTTTCTTTTGGCATGCGTTAGACTCCACATTGATCACAAGTGATGAGGGTGATTCTAACTAGGCATAGAAATAAAATAGGTTTGCGAAAAATAGCAAAGAGCTACCTCCGAGCTAGCTGTTATGTTGAGAAAGTTTCCCAGCAGCTTATTGACTGGGAAAGCAATTGTTCAGGATTGCTTTTCGTTGTTGGGTTTTGGAGTCCACCGGTTAGTGTGCAGGAGAGTAAGGCATGTGCTGGCTCTCTTTCTCATTTGAGTGAGGGTGCTTCTGATTTTTTTGTGAATTGTTCTATAGTTTGAAGAGTCTAGAAGGGACAGGCTATCAACAGGCAGTCTGCTTAAGCAAGGTCATCTTGGAGTCCTTTCTAACAATTTGATGAGCAGTAAACCTTTGCAATCCTGTCTGACATTTGTCTTTATGTTATTTCTTAGGAGACGCTCTGTCTCTTCCTTCCCAGTCCCCCAGGACAATGTGGATACTCATCCTGGTTCTGGTAAAGAAGTGAGGGTACCAACTACGGCCTTGTGTGTCTTCGTAAGTATGCTTCAGCCCCAAGCCCCACGTGCTTGATATAGTGACAGAGCCTGGCAATTAAAGGGTCCTTTCTATGCCTGCAGCTAAGCGTTCCATTGTTTTACTTATATCAAGCTTTTACACCTGTTGGCTCTGTCAGCTGTGAGAAATCGATCTATTTTGCTTAGTTTCAGAGGAAAAAATTTGTTACAACCATCCTCTGTAATGGCAGAGCTGACAGAAAGGATTGCTAGCATGAAGGATAGGGCAAAGGAAAAGTAATTAGGAATGGTGAAAAATGGGAGAGTGATTTGTATAATTATTGTCACCAATTGGCTCCAGTTTAGAGTGAGTTGCCAGTCAGTGATCTATTTTGGAAGTAGGACAGCTGTTGGTTTCATGAATTATACCCCTATCTGTATGACTCCCAACCATTAGGGGTCTATGATTGGAAGCAGTCCTGGGCAGAAGCCACTGTGATGGAGACCAGGGCTGTCACCTGGAGTTCAGAGCTGGGTCCTAGTGCTAGCAGATAGTTTGCATCCCAGCAGGGGTAATTGAGCAGAAATGGAGCCAGCCTGGGGAAACATTCAGTACCTGGCTCAGAACTGTCAAAGTACAAGGAGGGTAGGAAACAGAGCGCAAAGAACAGAACCTGGAGAGCTGGACTGACTCCCGTACTGGCCTAATAACTGGCAGCGGGTAAGTGAAAGGAGCCAGCTTTCAAAGCAGGGAAGATTTTGCCGTAAAAATGGGATGGAATTTATCTGGTGGGAGCTTTGGGTTCTGGGTGTAAGGAGGGACTTTGCTAGTTACACAGTGGACTGGCTGAGTGATGAACGGCCTTGACTGTTGTAAAGAGAGTTCCGCTTTGGAGGAGGAGTCGGGGTGGGACATATCAAGGCCCCTTCCCAGTCCCAGTCCACTCCTGTGATTCCGTGATGAACCGGGCGCCTTGCAGAGGTCGATGATGATTGGTAAAAGGTCTGATTGCACTGAATGTCACAGTCCCTTTGTTGCCCTCAACTCCCAGCAGCCCATTTTTTTCCTCCTGTCACATTTAAGTCATGTGTACAGGATCATGGAGCAGCTGATAGTTTGGGATTCTGTCAGTGTGTGTTTCTGAGAGTGATCGGTTCACAGCTGACAAGTATCCAACAAAACCAGTTACACAGGAGACTGACAAGTGGCAGTCATGGGTGTGATGGTGCATGATCTCAAGTTTTCAATCTGAGACCTCGTAAGGAGAAAGAAAGCATGAAAAAGAAAAGGAAGTTTCATGGGGGTAAAAGGTTTGGTCACCGGTCATACTTTTCAGCAGTGGGTCACAAGAGGGAGGGAAAATAGAAAATGAAATTACCAGAGTGGCGCCTGCTGCCCAGCCTGTATTGCTCTCTCTCTGATTCTTCAAGCATCTTACTTTTTTTAGTCACAAGCGAATGTGATTATCACCTATTCTCTTCCCCAAGTGACCTTTTAGACAAGTGATTATCTACTTAACAATCTCATATTGGTAGTCTATGTTTTCTAGTCTTTCTATTCCTTCTCTATTATAGAAATTTTCAAACACTTTTGCTGGAGCAATTTGAAGCCAATCCTAGGCATTATATTTCATCTAAAAATATTTCACTACCCATAATCTTCTTAAGAGAGTATAGTGAATTTTTTGATTATTCCCTTTTCCCATTCTAGAATGGGATGCTGGCTAGGTCTCTGTTATCCAGGCTGGAGTACAGTAGCACAATCTCAGCTTGCTGCAGCCTCAACCTTGTGCTGAAGCAATCCTCCCACCTCAGCCTCCCGAGTAGCTGGAACAACAGGTGTGTGCTACCACACCTGGCTGATTTTTGGTTTTTTGTTTTTAAGAGATGGGATTTCGCCATGTTGCCCAGGCTGGTCTTGAACTCCTGAGCTCATGCTATCCGCCCACATCAGTCTCCCCGAAGTGCTGGGATCACAGATGTGTGCCACCGCACCCAGCCAGGATGCTTTTTTACTTGGTTTTCTTTCTCATCCTGAACATAAGTACCATCTTTTGCCAGTGTTTATGCCAGTATCAGAAATTTCCCTATTAAAAATATAAATTCTCCTAAAATAACGACTGTCATTTTTATCCACGGCTTACTCATTAACAGGCACCATTCTGGGTTGCAAAAACCTTTCTGGAGCTGAGCAAACTGAGACTTCAGAAACTTGGCAGAGGTCACACTGCCAGTACACACTAGTCCCATAATGTTTCCACAAAGAACTACATAGAATTCCATTGTAACACAGATTGATGTTTTTGCCATCTGCTTATATTAGGTCTCATTGTGAAAGCTGTATTATGAGAGGCCATGTACTATACATTATTTAAATAGGTAATATTTAATATTAGTAAATTAGTAATTACTAGTAGATCAATAAGTAGTATTCAACTCAGTCTAGATCAAAATTAACTGATTCTAGGTTTACTTTTAAACTATTAAGGTAAATATAGGCCATTATTGTTGGAACAAATGATATTAATGCAAGGACCAACTTTTTAAGCAATCTACACAGATTTTGAGTACTTTTTGAGAAGATTGCGCTGTACTCTGATGCAACTGTAACTAGAAGAATAAAATGATAATAGAATCTTAGGAGACTTGAGCTAGGAGTCCAGTTTAGTTTGTGATTGGCTCCACCTGTCTTTAAGGATGAGCGTTTCCCCATGAATTAGGCATTTGGAGTGTTCGCGCATCTTGAGCGTTTGGAATGAGAATGACTGGGTTTGACGCAGGGTACTTGTCTTGCAGGATGCACATGATGGGGAAGTCAACGCTGTACAGTTCAGTCCAGGTTCCCGGTTACTGGCCACCGGAGGCATGGACCGCAGGGTTAAGCTTTGGGAAGTATTTGGAGGTGAGAGCCTGCTGCATGATCTCAGACTGAAAATTTGAGATGATGCACCCTTGCACCACAGAAAGAAGCTGTGTTGCTGGCATCTGGTTGACCTTGCTTTCAGGCACTGTGAATTGTTCATCTTCTCAAAACATACATTTGAGCAAAGCATTGTACATCTCAGTTATTCTTTACATCCGAGTGGATGTTTGTAGTGACCAGAAAATACTGTTAAGTTATGGCTATGTTTATGTTAGTAAAGTTTCTGTAATTTTTCTCAAGTATATACCAATCAGAACATCTTGCAAAATAGTACCATTTTTATGAGGAAAATAAGTCTTATGATCATGGATTCTACAGTTAAACTATACATTAAGCTATAGTTGATGCATTTAATGACAATGGCAGTAGCCTAGGGGAAAAAATGACTGGCGTCATGTCTAAGCTTCAGAAAAGAGACGTGTATTACCTAGAAAAGATGTCTTTAACAGTGTATCAGACAAGGGCCCTTAGATCAAGACTCAGTCTCTTTGGACTTTTAGGATGCTCAGAGATGGATGGCATTAAAACAGAAAATGGAAGTTAATGAAACCATCTCTTAGAAATCTGAAGCTGGGCATTTCCCAGTTTTGACATTTTCAAGATTCAGTTAAATATGCATGTATTTTTACTAAAGTAAGGCCAAAGAATAAGGCTTAAGGTTTTTAATAGGAACCACTTTGTCGGGTGTCCATAGTCCATACATTATCCCTGTCCAGCAATAAGTATCTCCAAAGTGATTTTGTCTGTTAATTCCCCTGATCTTCACAACAGCCCTGTGTGGTTAGAAAGGTAGAGATTGAGCCATTTCACAGATAAAGGGAATAAAACTCAGACACTACGTGATTTACATGGCTGGTGAATGATTTCCATGGTGAGGAAGTGGTGGAACTAGGACTAATGCAGGTCAGAAGACTTGAAATTCCATGCTCTTCTTACTGTAGCCTTCTCCAGCGTTCTCTAGCAACTGAAAAATCATAGGAGTACTGCTTTTAAAGTTTATTATTAGAGCAGGAACAGCCTATTAGAATAGATTATTAGTAAAGCACTCCTCCTGTCTGCCCCGTCCTTTGATTTTCAGGAAAGGGGCTCAGCAGTTACAGCCCGTCGAAGCGTGCTAAAATCTGCTGTTTTGCCCGGAAACATTTTAGCTTATGAATGATAATGGCTGAAGCTATTAGAAAACAATAATAAAAACAAATCATAAGAAATTTTCACTTTGTGAGGCTGAGGCAAGAGGATTGCTTAGGCCAGGAGTTCAAGACCAGCCTGGGCAACAAAGTGAGACCCTGTCTCTACAAAAAAAGTATTAAAAAGTACCTGGGTGCAGTGGGCATGCACTTGCAGTCCTAGCTTCCTGGGAAGCTGAAGTGGGAAGATCAGTTGAGCCCTGGAGTGCGAGGCTGCTGTGAGCTATGATCACATTACTGCACTCCAGCCTGGGCAGCAGAGCAAGACCCTGTGTCTTTAAAAAAAAAAGGAAATTTTAGGGAATTTGATTTGTAAAATCGAAGTAAACAGTCTGTTTTGATTATACCATTGAGATTTAAATAAATATAACACTAGAAATGTTTTTGTTTTACTCCTTGGTCAGTAAAAACACCTATAAGAAAATTAGAGGTACCAACCTTTAATTCTAGTAACTTTGTTGCTGCTGAAAAGGAAATGAACATCAATTGAAGTTAATACTGACATAATTTGTGCCAGCGCATAATTTGTGTTAGTCAAATTAAGTTTCTACCTAATCTACAGAAGTAGAACGTATGGCAGCATTTCTTACAGTTTTGTGTAGGGCCTTCTACAAACAGCTTTTTCAGTCTACTAGGTTTTTCCTCTTGGCTAATACTTATTTACTGAATCTTGGAAGAAGCCAAGTTCAAGAGACCTTTTCTGAAATAGTTTGGGGGTCCTGTTTTTTCGTCCTTTTAGAATATCAGAAGAATGGCACTTTCTTCCCCCTGGGAACATCTGGTTGTGCTCATTCTCTCTAAAGCAGAAGTTCCACTGGGAATTATACAAATGCTGTTGACATAGCACCCCCCACCCCATACCTTGTAGATAATTGGTTTTAATACAGTCTTTGTTCTTTTTGAGATCAGTCTCTCATATTGAATAGCATTAATTTTTTGGTCACTTCTTACATTTCAGCACTGTATTACGTGCCAAGCAAATAGACCAGTATTTTAAGCATAAGCCAAAGAGATATTTCTTAGAATTTGCAGTAATATTTTTATCTGTGAGGACTTCATCTAAAGGAAGATCTTAGCGAATATTAGCCTTTTTCAACCGTTTTGAAAATCTTAAGAAAGCTAGGATCCGGAAAAAGCCATTAAATATGCTGTATTTTGCAAGTGGATTTAGAGGAGAAGTTCATCAACCAGGTTAACAGTCTGTGGCCTGAACGTACATGACAGCTTCAAATCAGTGTTCGTGTCACTTTGATGTCTGGCTCCAATCATTACTTTTACTACTTAGAAGTGCTGAATAAGATACAAATGTGGTGAAATGGTTTCTGTTCTGTGTTCCCCTTTACAAATAAGATTACATCGCTTCCTTAATTCCTAGCTTATCTGTGTGGATCATCCTGAAGTTACCCTTTTAAAAAGAACTTAATCAAATCATTGCGATTTTTGCTCTTCTCAGTTTGGGATTGCCGGTTCCTGAAATTTCCGTGTGGGTGGCCAGGCTGTCTGGAAGCAGAGTAGATAAAGTGGATACTGCAGAGTAGATAAAGTGGATACTGCAGAGTAGATAAAGTGGACACTGCAGAGTAGATAA